TTATATTATAAAATATAGTCTTATTCTTTATTGTTTAAAGTAATTGCATATTCCACACCACCTTGAGGTTTGCAATAAAGGCGCGCTATCGATTTTTATTAAAAATTCAATTAATGAAACGTACTTCTATAAATTAGAATTATCAAAATGGGAAAAGTTTCCTTTCACGAAATGAGCAGTTTTTAAAATATATTAATATTATACTTATTAAACTAATTTAAGGGCCGTTTGCACCATGTCTAGTTAACGCTAACTGGAGGTACATCCTTCAGTTAAGCACGTTAACTGCTTTATCGATCACATGTTATATGATGGGTGTCGATAACGTCGATAAAGATGTTTAACTGGGAGTTAGAATTAACTAGACATGGTGCAAACGGCCCTAAGTTATTGATTTTATAATGTCCCCATCCTAAAGTATTAATATTATCATATAATACAAAACGCTTATCATCTGTATTGCTTAAAACAACTTTATTAAATTCTATTGTATAAATCTCATGTATTTTAGATCTAAAAGTATACATCTTATCGTAAAAAATTTTGTTTTGAAGTAAACATTCATAATATTAAGATTTATTAATGCTGACTATTTACACCTTTAGCTTTCTTCACATCATTGTCTCCCTCAACACTAATAGAATACATTTTAGGCTTGAGTCCAATAAATTCTTTCATAATTTTACCATTGTTTTCATCTTTCATCATACCCAAACATTTTTTATTCTTTAAAGGAAAATTAAAGACGTTATTTTCTAAATATTCAGATGTATCAAATTTTAAATCAATATCATCATGAATATCCTTATAAAAGTCATTCGTTTGAATAGTATATATAAAAGAATCAGTATCCATATAGTTTAAACAGAGCTTTGTTTGAAACTTAGGTTTCATATAACTATAATGAAAGTTATACATTTTCCACTTTGATAACTCCAATACAACAAAACCAATACAAATAGGCTTATCATATAAGGTACATGATCTTTTCAATTGTATAGCAAGCATGTTTTCTGTAAATGATGTATAGCTATGAAAGTTAGGTTTAGCGATGAGGGCTCGAGCGCCTAACCTTTTTCCAATACTTTCCCATTCACATACGATTTTTATATCTTTCTTTTTATCTACATTTTCCATAGTTTTTCCATATACTGCATTATTCAGAAGTTTAAAAAAGTTCTTTTCAAAATCATTCTTAGCGTTTGTTCTTTGAAAAGTATTTAGGTCTATATACTTTTTTAGCCAATTAGACTGTTTGAACCTTAAAACGCGATGAACCTTCTTCAATTTTAAACCATGTTTAAGACACTGCTGCAAGTTTCTATAATGAATTACATACCTAGTTTTATTATTTAAATCAGTGATTAGTTTAGGTTGAATCATGCTACCAATTTTTTTATTTTCACAACAAAATGGTAAGTCATTATGTATATCATGAATTGAATGAGGATATTCCAAATCAACCTCTAAAATGAAACCATATGAAGAGTTTTCTTCTATTGTGAAAACATCAAAATCATTAACATTATCCAACCACTCAAACTCAGCATAGGGAAGATATTCGGACATAGCCCAACCATATAAATTATTTGCATCTAAATACATAAGATATTTTGATGGTTTATGATCATCATAATTGCTCATGTATTTATTATTTGCTATAGAATATCGGTTAGAACATTGAACTATACCACCCCTTATACCCTTCTTTATGAAGCTATAAATATCAATACTTGTAATTAATTGCAACTCAATTTGTGTTGTCTTTAGCATTGCATCCCACGATAATCCGGGGGCAGTAAAATATTGGCAAGGATCTAGACTATAAATTTCTAAACAAATTTTTCTGAAATTTTGAAAAATATTACGTCTGTTTTTAAATAAATTTCGAAGTAATCACGTAATGTTAAACAATTAAGAGTTGACCACACTTTTTGAGCATGCTCATAGTCGCTAACACTACATTCTTCATTAATTAATTTATTGAAAAAATTTTCACGAGGTGGTAAACATGATTCTTGAAGGCGTTCAATGCTATTAAAATAATCGTAAGGAAATATCCCTTTTACTTTTAAAAGATTGAATTCATCTTCATCAACGAAGGTTGTTCGCAACACTCTAAAATCATTATTAGTTAAATTTTTAGCTAAACTAGATAAACTAGAAGACATAAATCGAAAAGAATCTAAAAACCTAAGTTCAATGCTTGAATTAATATTAAAATTAATATGTTTTGATATGGACACATACAATTCCTTATTTAGTGGAATAATATTAATACTTCCTGGAATATTTGAAAGTTCTTTTACGAATAAATGACAATCATATGAGGAAAGATTATGGAAAAATATTGGAATAAAGTTTGCGATTTTAAAATTTAAATTACAATCATTATGAGCTGGACCTCGATATTTTCCAGTTAGATGACAATGATCTATTACTCTATCGATCCCTAAGGGTTTTTCACAAATTGAACAAGTACTACTATTATTTTGTATATCTAATTCAATTGAAGTGAGGAAATTTATGGGTTCTATCTTTTTTAAATAATTAAAATAAATTTCTCTAGCATCATCAATTAAACTTTTAATAAATATCGAAGCTGAATCCTCACCAGTATATATTTTAAGTTTATCTAAAGAATCATTAAATGCACATTTAATATAATAACTAAATGCACATGGCTTATGCTTCTGAATTGCTTTGCTGTTATTCGAAATCTCTAAATCTTCCTCTACTAAGACACATTCAAAGTCAGCATAAACCCTAAAAGGAACCTCTAGCTTATTTTTAAAGTTTTTAAACATTAATTTTCTTTTTTCAGCTTCTACCATCCTTGTAACCATTTGTCCACATTCAGACTTATGTTGACTGAGTCTTCCTTTAGTGGGAAACATTTGCAGACATATGTTGCATAAGAACGTTTCATGTTCATGTGATGTTAATTGCTTTCTTAACAATCTAAAATTTCAAAAACTATAAATTAAAATTTTTTTACTTATAAAGCACGAATATATATTTTTATAAGTATATTTGTTCATAACTAAATAATTACCTTGAAATATTTTTAATCCACACATAATGGAATATATCATATTTTTGGAGTAATAACAGATTTATATGAGTGCCTTTTTATATCCGAGCGCACTTGTGCACAAGGGTATTATAACTTTGTTCACATAACGGTTGTTTGTAACAGGCAAAACGAATCGAGATAGATATAGACAAATGTATACATAAATGATCAGAATGAAAAGAGAAATCGATTAAGCGGTGACTGTCTGTCCGTCCGTCCGTCCGTCTGTGCACACGATAACTCGAGCAAAAATTGAGATATCTTAACGAAACTTGGTATGAACTTCTTCTGGGCATTGGACGGATGGTATTGAAAATGGGCGAAATCGGACAATAACCACGCCTAC